ATATATGTGTATTATGAAAAAAACAGCCGTACTTAAAAAAATGCATCTTTGGAAGCTTTAGGGTTGAAAACCTGTTTGTCAGGGTGAGGAAGTAGCTACGGTTAGTCCCGGATGGAAGGAATAGTAAAGAAGCCAGAGGCTATCCTGGCCCACAATGCAGGCAAGAAAGCCAGTCAGTGAAAATGGAAATGGAGCCGTCAGGAGGTGAGGGGCAGTCTGGTGTGGGGAGTAGGGGGGAAGGGGGATGTAGCAGCACAGGTAAAAGTGCAGAGGTGCTTGGGATATCAGATGTCTGACCAGTTGCAGTGTGCCAGAACTCCACTGTGTACAGTGGAGTCACATCTTACGCGGGGGTTAAGTTCTAAAGTCAGTGCGTAAGGCGAAAATTGTGTAAAGTCAAAATTACGGAGAGCGAATCGTAGATGAAGTGGTTAGCTCTGGTTCAGCTTGAGAAGTTGATTGCATAGGCTCATCTGCTGCTGGTTGTTTTTTCTTGAAAAACATGGTGATCCATAACTGTCACTGTTGTCTCTTGAGCTGCTCAAGCATTTCATGGTACGATCTCAAATCACTAGAATCACACTCAGCACAGCAAGATGCTCACGCTATGAGAGGCACGCGGGAACTGAGACTGACTGAGGGAACAGCAGATTCATGTCTCCCATCTCATGCTCACTCCGGGGCATATGCTCATTGAGTGGAATGGCGGGTGGAATTGCTCGCACTATTTAAATTGTTATTTTTCTCTTCTTTTTTTTTGCCGAGAGCGTATTGTTGAATTAGCGTAAGTTAAATGCGCGTATGATGTGATTCCACTGTATATTGAGTCCATGAGTTTCTGTACCTACTACCTAGGAGGCTGATGAAGTGCAGTTCATAGGCCCAGCTCTGAAAAGTGGGTTGTACATTCAAACACACACCTAACCTCATCACCGGAACTGAAGCCAACTTCCTACAGTTCAAAACACAAAACCTGTCAACTATCTCCTGTACCCCACAAACTGCAGAATCTATCAAAGACAACAAAACCCAACTACCTGTGGGGGCACATTCATCATGAAAAAAACACTCTGCCTCCAGTCTCTCAGGCCTGGTCCTCAGAGGGAACAAATTACAATGCAAACCACTTTTCAGAGCTGGGCCTACGAACTGCACTTCATCAGCCTCCTAGGTAATAGGTACAGAAAGTCATGGACTCAATATACACAGTGGAATTCTGGCATGCTAAGACCTGCTGGACATCTGACACCCCAGGCATATCTACACTTTTATCTGCACTGCTACAACTCCCTTTCCCCCTTACTCCCCACCCCAGTCTGTCCCTCCCCACCTGACACCTCCATTTCCATTTTCACTGACTGGCTTTCTTGCCTGCACTGCATGCCAGGCCAGCCTCCAGCTTCTTTACTATTCCTTCCATCTAGGACCAATTGCAGGTACTTCCTCAGCCTGACAAAGGGGGTTTCAACCCTAAAGCTGGCATCCCAGGCACCTAAGCTGAGCTCACTGGGAGCCTTACAACTGCACTGCAACCAGCAAGCAACAGGCCTGTCGAAGACGTGACAGGTCTGTGTGTTCCCCAGCCAGGACTTTGCATGTGCATGCATTAGCTGGAGGTTATGGTGTCTCTTACCTACCTTTCACCAGGGATCATTGGTCCTGGAATTTACAGGGCTGCTGCACTGCCAGCAGTCCCACCAGGCCTCCCTACCCTGGCAGGGTACAGTTTTAGTGGTCATGCCCAGGACATGGGGTCTCCTCCTTTCCCATAGCCCCAATCCCATACCTCCAAGTTTGTCCTGGCAGGGGAATGAGCTCAGCGGGGACATGTTCTTGCCCTGCTGGCTGGTGATAGTTAGTGCCCCCTCCAGCTGAGAGCAGGGCATTATTTGGCTTTTAAAAAACTCAAAAAAGGAAATTGGTGCAGATGGAATGAGGAGGGTGGCACTCAGTCCATCTGCAGGTGGAGCTTGGGGAACCCCAGCAGCGGGAGGTTCACCTTTAGGAACACCAGCTGCTCCACCAAAGCAGGTGTGGTGGGGAGTCACATAATCCCCAGCAATGCTGAACACCCTCTCGCTTGGAACACTGGTTGGTGGACAGGACAGGTGTTGCCGGGCAATCATGGCCAGATCCTGCCACATCTGGTTGCATTTTGCCCAGTAGGCCAAGGGGTCACAGTCCAGTGGCTCCACATCCTCAGTGAGATAGGTAGCCACTGAAGCCTTGGCGCTACCTGCGCAAGGCTGGGGTCTGGTGCATTTGGACCCCAGCATTGAAGTCATGCCCATGGCCCACATGCAGTGGCTGGCATGGAGGAGACTGGCTGGTGCTGGTGCTGGTGCCGGTGCCTGAAGTGCTGGCACGGGAAAGTGGATCCCACTCTTCCATATCCCCTCGCCTCTGCACTTCAGCCTCCCTTTGTTGATCAGCACCTGTATCTAGTGATCAAGGGTTTGGGGCTGCCAATGCACATGTTCCCCTTCACCGTTGGGTCATGCATGCCCGCCATCATGTAGATCGTACTGGATTGCAAGGGATCCAGCCATCTCCTGATGCCCTCCTTCAGCTGCCTCACCAGTGCCTGCATGTCTGGTGACAGCGGCCTGTCCCAGCCAGGAACATTGATCCCCTGGAACTTCTCCATTTGGTTCTCTGATTCCCTCACTAGGGGGA